TATATGACTTCAATTGATACAATATAAGTTAAAGGAAAGCAACCATGCGACTGTTGTCATCTAAGCACAGATACCTCGGACCAGATTCTCTGATGTGCACCAAAAGTGAAATATCAAAGCTCTTTACCAACGATACCATTCCAAAAATAAATTACTATACAGGCATAATCGATGCATTTCTCAACAAGGCTTTCAAATAGATCCACTCCGATGAAAAACTGCAAATCCATTCCCCGTTACAAAAAAATACTCATGAATAAATCATGAAAACAATACAGATATCACATAAGAAAATTCTTCGCTGAGACTATTCCATTCGTTCTGAATCTTTTGAGCTAAAATCGGCCTAGGGCTGTGCAAACCAAAGATATGGAACGGAAGAAACACTGTGTCACATTGCGACATCACATTACGACATCATCTCTAGGCGGTTCATAAAAAGGCGTCATAGCTAATGATATCTGGCAAGATCGGTTGATTTCTTATGGTCAGAATCTACTCATCTTCCACACCCCATCCAAAGCCACCCGGTCGTTCTTCCTCGGGCACAGGGTCAGCTTGTCGTTCATCAAACAACCACTTCAACCAGTTTGGAGTCTTTAGCAAGCGAGTACCGTGCTGCTGGTATGGGAACACGTCTTCCAAAAAGAAGTAGAAGTGTCCGCATGCAATACCTGGAACGAACCGTTCATACTCTGAAACTTATTCTTTATTCTCATCAAAATCTTTGTAAGCGCACTTTCATCCCTTCCAGCGTCTGATGTCTCTTCCAAAAATGAAAAAAATTTCTGAAGGGAAGGATACTTGTTCGAAGTGGCGTTCCTACATGAAATGTATAGTATCTTTTAAGGCATAGAACGCTAATTATTTGCTTTCGGTATCTGCAAAGCACTTGAGGGTAGTGTAGGAATTTTGTCAGAATAAAATTGAGAGCTTGGTTGAGGTAAAGACGGTATTGAAGTTTTTCCGGCGCTCAAAAGGAGTAATGACTGGCGTGAACCTAACTAAGGTATCTATTGCATAAAACGTCCTGGCAGTGATCATGGTCCCATTTGAGCTCACGCACTACACTACAGTTCTGAATGGTTTCATTATGGCGGCGCATTCAAGTCTTTGCATCAAAAAATTCTCATAACTACCCTCCCAAAAGATGCTTGCAATTATTGAAAGCAGATTAGAAAACAGCGTCCCATGCTCTATAAGACAGCATACATTTCATATAGAAATGCCAAGTACTCTTCCGTAGTCAGTGATGAAATGGCTCCCATCCTCTGCGCAATAACTCGCATAAAACTCACTCGAAAACCAACTCACCCATGAAATCGACAATGGCATTATTTCCAAGTAGAAGAGAGAAGAGCAGTAGGACCCACGGTAAATAAGGAGCCGTGAAAGATAACACGCCAAAAAAGTTCATCTGAATAGATCAAGGTATATCGAACAACAATCCATGTAAGCCGCGTGCCCCCAACAGAATAGTCATCATGTGCGTCAAATATATAGTAAAAGAATGAAGTTGATGAAAAAAATGATGCCGGAAAAGCTTGGCTACTGGATCTGACTTCGCGCATAAAATTCACCAAAAATAGTGAAACCCTCCTCATCTTCATCGGCTCACCTGAATATGAGGATTACGTCTGCTCCAAACGTACACAAGCATAATTGTGAATGCTTGACCAAGAAATACCATTTGTACGAAGATACCGCATAATATCTGAAGGATGAGCGAGTTATTCGTTCCTGTGAACAAAACAAGAATGCAAGTCTCACCATCAAAATTCCTCCTAGCAAAAACATGTAAACGAAATCAGCTCTCCTGCCACGGAAAGATCCCTCTTCCAACATCATACAGTACCGATAGGTGAAGATCATGTTGAACATGAAGCTAAAGCCAAATGAGCCAAAAAAGCAGAATGACGTGATGAGTCGCCATAACTGAACGAGAGATAATATATGAAAGTGAAGATTTGGGAAGAAATCGTAGAAGACATACCTGATATCGTTTCACAATCAAATCCCAATTAAAATATAAGTGGAACGGAGTAATGAAATCGAGTTGCTAAAAAAGAAATTTGAATGCGATAAAATTTGTGGACGAACATACCACAGCCAATGTCGTCAGAACACATGCCGTTGTGTACGCCCGCGTTACGGGCGGCATTTCCGTATAAAGATCTATCAAATTTTGCATCTGAAACAGGGGATTAGAAGCGAGCCACAAGTAACTGAGTGTAGAGAGGTAATGAATATCAGAAACATCAAATTCACTACGAATATCTTGGCTTTCCGAAAGGCTTTTATATCTGAGATAATCTGTATGGAACATGAGATACGAAATCATCATACTTTCCTAATTTTCAGGCTAGACTAGGCTCAATAATTCGGTAAATGGAAGTTGCGCTACCAGTACGAGAATACCTATACTGAATACAAACGCTAGTAAGACATACTATGTACAGAACAGTAACAACAAACAAGTAGACAACAATGGAAAGGCTAAGGAAATCCTGCTCAAGGAGTCAAAATCGTGCTCTTGCTTCCTGCCAATTGCGTAAGTAACTTGTTAAGTCGCTCCACCATGCCACTAG